TTAGACAATGAGAGAGAGAGACAGAGAGAAAGGTCTTCCTTTCATTGGTTCACGTCCCAAATAGCTGCTACTGCTGGCATGCTGTGCAGATCCGAAGCCAGGAGCCAGGTGCTTCTCCTGGTCTCCCATGCAGGTGCAGGGCCCAAGCACTTGGGCCATCCTCCACTGCCTTCCTGGGGCACAGCAGAGAGCTGGACTGGAAGAGGAGCAACCAGGACAGAACTGGTGCCCCAACCCGGACTAGAACCCCAAGTACCTGCGCTGCAGGTGGAGGATTAGCCTAGTGAGCCGTGGCGCCGGCTTGTTCCTTCTCTCTCAAGTCACTGAGTTTTTATGGGAGTTTATAAACGGCATGCCTTTAGTTTAAAAATGACTTAATGGCCTTGATTACGACTGAGCATTCTCTCAGTTACGTGCCCTCTGCATTGGCCAGGACGGAATCCCACAGCAACCCAGACTCTGGCCTGACCCCAGGGAAATCTAAGAGCCAAGTTCTTCCCTGGAGCCCCCGGGGGGCCTATGTGAGACTGCAGACCCTGAACCCTGGCTCTAGGCAATGCCCCTTCAACCAGAAATTCTGTCATTTTTTTTCTTGTTGTCATGTATGTTTTGAATAAATTTTATTGCACTTTTCTTCTCTCCCTGAATTGATGTTTCATAGGATGTGCTAAAAGCTGTCACATACAATTTAGTCCATAGAATACAGGAAAATGAGATAGGATCACGACCAAATAGGTAAAGAATTGAGATATGGGATTTGCTGCTACCTGTAAGTGATGAGCGGTCTGGATGACCTCTTGGGGAAAGTGTATAGATTTCCCATCCTACAAGGGATGGCTGTTCTGTGTTAGGCAGGGGGCCTCATTATGTTTTAGAAGAATGAGAAGGCCACTGGATAGCAGAAGAGGTGGATTTTAGTGAAATTTAATCACCCAGCTTCTGTGTTTGGAGATCTCACCACATGAGGCAGAGCTTTATCTCCCATTACAGAGAATGCCATGTACTTGCATTTCCAGCATCCCTTGCAGCTAGGCATATGCACGTGAACTAGGCTCTGCTGATGACAAGCATCACCTCTGACTCTAAACCAGAGCTCACATGCTAAGGAGCAGGGATTATGGCAGCTCCAGGATCAGTTTTAGCGAGGGAACAGAGTAGGGGGTGCCCTGGAGGCAGAAACAGTTACTGCATGTCCTGTGCTAAGGAGCAGTGGCGGTGGGGTCCTTAGGAACAGAACTAAGATGGGATTTGGGGGGCCGGCATTGTGATGCAGCAGGTTAAACTACCACCTGTGATATCAGCAACCCATATGGATACCAGTTCAAGTCCCAGCTGCTCCACTTCCCATCCAGCTCCTCCACTAATGGCCTGGAAAAGCAGTGGAAGTGCTTGGACTCCTTCTACTCGTATAGGAGACCCGGATGAAGCTCTTGGCTCCTGGCCTCAGCCTGGTCCAGCTTAGGCCATTGCAGCTATCTGGGGTATGAGGCAGTTGATGGAGAGCTCTGTCTCTCCCTCTCTTTCAGCATACATAAATCTTTAAAAAGTAAAAGATGGGATTTCGATATTGCTCCTGACCACACCCCTTTAGGAGTACTCCTCCAGCATGGGGACTCCCATTTGTTTGTGGAGGTGGGAGAGGGCAGAAGGAATTCCTCCTTTTATGCACAATTGTCTCCTTGTCATTATTTCAGGGCTTCCCAGTTCAGGCTCCAGAGCATGAAGCTTATTTCTATCAAATGTTTGTTCAATAAGAACTTGGGGTTACTACTGAGTGGTAACTTTGGGGTGGTCCTGGAAGACAGCTGAACGTGTAGACCCATTCTTCAAAGCCTCCAATCAAAGGCATGGATGGAATTTCAGTTGGGGTAGGGGGCTCCAGCTTAGGCCTTAAAGCCATCAATTAACCACTGGTGATTGTGTAGGGCTCCGGGGCAGCACAGAATTTGAACCAATGGTTCCTGTGGTCTGTGAGGAAAGATGGTTGATACTGCCAGCTTTCACGACTCCAGGGAGCACTATTCACCTTGTCATCTGTGGAGAAAGAGAGCCAGTGAAACCATGGTGTCTACCTGGCTCACTAACTGAGACCCAGTTGGGGTGGGGGCTTCAGGAAGGCTGCTCCCCAGCCACACCCTTAAGAGAAAGGAAGGGCTGCTACTCATCTATGCTAGAGGGGACCAGGGTAGAGCTGACCCCCACTGAAGAAAGCCACATATAGTTCATGTGCCAAGACCACCAGCCAATAGAATCCATCAGGACCCAGGTTAGAGACCTCGCCCCAGCTCCAACCCCAATGTACTGTCTTCCTTGTCCTCCCTTCTTTTGTCTTGTCCTGGGACTCTTGGGGGCGGGGGATGAGCAGGTGGAGGCATAACCTGCTTGAGTTTCATCGTGGAGTTTGTGTTGTCTCCTTTGGGGGCAAGGGACTGGGTGACAATTGGGAAAGGATGGGCAGCCAAAGGAAGAGCTATACCAGAGACCACTAACTGTCCCTCAAACCCAGACACAGAACAAAGGCGACTCCCTGGTAGTAGGTATGGTCCTCTGGCCAAGTTCTGATCAATTGGATGTGTGACATCCCCTAAGGGCAAGGGCCTTGCTTTCTCCTTCCCTCTTATCCATCCTGCTGGCTGCCATGTGAAGATGGCTGGAGCTGCCATCTTGGACCTCAAGGGAGAAGCTGTGAGGATGGTAGAGCAACAAGTTGGATGGAACCTGGAGCCCCGTGACCCTGGACTACCCCATGGCAGTCCAGCATGACAGAGAATGAACATGTGACTTGCAGAAGCTACTGCTGTTAGGACAGCCACACCTAATTCTCATCCAGATTTTTCCATGTCAGTTCGAGGCAGTCAAGGGCTGTGTGTAGGTGGTCATGCTCCTAACCAGAAGGTGAGATGGGCAAAGAGTAACCTTCTCTGAAAGAGCTCATTAAAAGAACAACAACAGCAGAAAACCAAATAAAACACTTGTAGAAACTGACAGTGATTCAAATAATAATGTCAACAGACAGTAAGTGTTGCATAGCTTCAATATTTTTATATTGATATTTTATATTTTCAGTAGTTACTAACAGAACACGTCAGAATGAAAAACATTCCAGATATACAGAAAAAAAAAATATTGCTGATCAATTAAGATACTTTCAAAGAGAACAAGGCTTAATACAAATCCTTTGGTTGCTCCAGACAGAACGTGAGCTATACAGATGGCGGGATATCCTGGCTACTGGACTCTGATGCACTTGGCTCCCGTGGCTGAGGTCACAGTCTTTGCCATCTTTACTGAGACTGCTGGCAGCCCAGGCTGATGGGCTAGAACCAGGGGTGGCAATCCTGGCCATTGTAGCCACCAGTGCCAAGGCCCGAGGGACAACCGCTTGGGGACAAGTCACAGCAACGTGCCACCTCTCTCTCTAGCAGCTACACAGCTCTGGTTTAAGCTAACTGTTGAGTCTCTGGAACACCAGACTTCCAGAATGACAACTCTAAAGCTCATCTAGTCCCGTCCAACCTTCCCCTGTGACAGGCAAGTTGAAACCTGGGCTGAGGGGTAAGTAGCTGGCCTGTAAGCGGTTCTAGACTCCACATCCCGCCTCTACTTCTGTCCCGCGATGCTGCCTCTTCGTGGCCTCTGAAGACGACAGCCTGTTGCTTATCCCCAAACGATCATTCCTGAGGGACAAAACCAGTGTCAATCAGCGGCAACAAGGCAGCCATAGCACCCGTGCTAAGCCAACAGCATATTTTAAGTATAAATTATTGGGGAAGGAAACTAAAGACTGTGCTAAAGTTTGAGATCCACCCTCACTCCCTTATCAGATTGAGTTAAGCCTCTTCTTCTGGAAAGTCAAAATAGCAAGAGAAGGTTCTAGAAAGGGACCCAGTAGGGACACTGCCACTGGGTAAGTGCACGGACCTGTGTGTCTGGTGAGATCTTTCAGTCAGAACACAGGCGGTCAAGGGCGGCCCTGCTCACCTGCAGCTGTATCTCCAGGTAGACTATTTACCTCGACTCTGACACTGTTCACGGAGGCCCAGCACAGGTGTCTGAAGTGTAAGTGCTTAACCGGAGGGGGTGGTGAGCCAGGAACCCTCAGGTGTAGCTTTACCTGGCACTATTCCAGAGTATTGACTTCTTGAGTTTGTTCCGTTAAGTTATTCTCTCGTGTGGTCTTTCCCAGGACTTCACGGCAGGAGTCACTGGGTTTAAACTGCTGGCAGGCACAGGGGTGCAGAAAAGCCAGCTGGAACCAGTGGTAAGCTTTCCAGAACCGGGTATGGCTGTAACGGCAGCGCTGTGTCCACCACTTTCAATTAAAAAAAAAATAAATAAAAACCTGTCTCTGAAGGCATTTAGACTTCTCAAGGCTTGTGCACACGGGGTGCTGATGCACTGTATCCAGGGCGATGCTTGGCTCACTACCCTGACAGCTCTCCCGGGTAGGCCAGCGTTCACTCCTCCTGCTCGTCTTTTGGTTCTTTGCTTACACAATCTGTCTGGGTCCAGACTGAACAAAGAAATGGTCTGATTGTCCTTGGCGCTCTTGCTCTCCCCTTGGAGGAGGTAACTTTTCTAAGTGACTCATACCCAGGGGGTCTCGGTCCGTATTCCAGCAGAAAGGAAATTCACAATAGCACGAGCGCCCTCTGCATTTGCCCTCGCTCACACACAAGGGACTGGAGATTGCCCTCCTAAGTGCCCAGACTAGGGTTCTCCTACCCTCACAGCCCCACACTCTGCTGTGACTTTTTGTTTTCCAGCACAGGGTCTCGGCAAGGTGGATCAACACCCTCCCACCCCACCATGGAGCGGGGCAGTGAAATACCCATTGGAAAGATGGGAAGTCTGCAAGTAAGGTGGGCTTCAAAAATTCGGGGGGAAATGAAATTAAAAGATTATTTTGGTACAAAAAAAAAAACCCTCCATGCATTTTTTAAATAACAGGTGTTTTCCATGAACCTTTTGAAGACCTCTTGAAAGCATGGATTTCAAAATTATTTTGCATCAAAATGAACTTTTAATTCCATTTTCCATGAACTTTTTGAATTGTACTCATACACCAGGTGTGGAGGCAGAAGAACCCTCAGAAACCTCATCATATCCCCCCTCCCCCCACTAACCATCCTGCTACAAGGAAACTGCCCAATTGGTCCAGAGTTTGTGAATTTATCAATATGGCTTCATCCACATGTGCTGTAACAGGAAAGCAGCCTTTTTCTGGAAATACTAAGAAACTGGCTTAGCTTCCTCTTCTGAATGCATAGAAACTGCTATTTAAAGATACCACATTAAAATGTTTACGTAATTTATTTTCCTTAAATAATAATTTGCTACAATCCTGTCACAAATTAAAAAAAAAAAAAACTTTGAACACAGTATTCACAAAGGCAGAATTCTTTAGGACAATCAAAGTCATGGTGTTCTTGGAATAAATTAACATCAAATCGTGTTTATATTCAGATAGTCTGGTGTTCTCCTTTGAAATGAAATGGAGACGTCGTAACCAAGGGTGACTGCACACTTTTGTTCTCCTATACAGAGACTCTTTCTTTATATAAACTCAGCGGTAATTTGAATCTGGTTAGGGATCCTGAGAAATGCTCAGGACAGATGCCCACACATGCGCACGCGCACACACTCACACGCACTCACACTCACTTACACCCACAGACAACCCTCTAGAAGCAGGGTTTCCCGTGGTCAAGGACAGGAAGCTCTTTTCTCAGAAGGGCCAAAGATTCTGAATATCTAGATGCCACCATCCCCTCTCCCCTCGGGAAAATCGTCACGTTCAAGTGTACAGCTTGAAGTAGCAGCAATGTAACATAGATTCAGTAGTCAGTGATTCCAGTCCTGGGTTCTGAAGACACAGGAAGAGGCAAGCAGAGGCAAGAGATACACCTGTTTCTCACGCTAAGACACGCGATGTCACCGGGAGCCCTGGTTCGGAGTCTCAGCTGAAGTCACCTGAATGTCCGCTCTTCGCCTGCTCAGGCACTGGGTGGGGACCCCAGGAGGGCAGGGGCAGGGAGACGGGAAGCAGGGAGGGAGGGCAGCGAAGGCATTGCTCTCCTCCAGCCTGAGCGCCCACCGCCCTCCGTGCAGTGCAGTCATCAGGGGCCCCTAAGCGCCAGGGGCACAGATGGAGGCAGCTCCGCCTAGGAGCACAGAAAACTCAGCCCTTGTAGTCCTACACGCAGACACACGCCAACATCCATCCCGGCCACCCGAACCCACCGCACCGTCTTGCTTCTGGCGGGTCAGCAGCACCGCTGGTGTCCCCGCTCAGCCGTTGCCCGACGGGGGCTCACGGGGGTGTGGGGCAGTCTAGGGAGGCAGGCGTCAGGACAGGCCCCCACGTGACATCCCTTTCTGCTGTCTCTCTGGCCTTCAACGACGCTGTGATGGCATGCGTATCTACACCAGTTCCTATGTACAGGATACCTTTTCTACAGAAATTTAAAGTGCCTGGCTGTACTTGAGCTCATTCCTTTCCCACGGCTCCCAGGTCCTCTGGCTGCCTCCGGAGGGTGGGTTTGAAGCCCCCTCTTCAGGAGATCGTCCCTGGGAAAGAGAAATGAGCATTTTTTCCCCCACAGTTGTCCTAACTGGGATCCAGCATCTGGACCAAGGCTTCTTCATACACACGAAGAATTGCTTCACACACGAACTTGTACTGGCTCTGGAAGAGAAAAGCAAGTGGTCAGGTCCAGCAGTGGTGCTGCGCCTTGCACTTGGCTGCATCCTCTGCATCACCCACACACTCGGTCTCTCTCTATATCCCTTTGCCTCTCAAATAGATAAGTGTTTTTTTAAATGGTGTAGTATGGGGCCAGCACTGTGGCACAGTTGGTAAAGCAGCTGCCTGTGGCACCGGCATCCCATATGGGCACCAGTTCGAGTCCCAGCTGCTCCACTTCCCACCCAGCTTCCTGCTAATGTGCTTGTGAAAGCAGTGGAAGACAGCCCAAGTCCTTGGGCTTCTGCAACCACGCGGGAGACACAGAGGAAGCTTCTGGCGCCAGACCAGTCCAGCTCCGGCTGTTGCAGCCATTTGGGCAGTGAACCAACAGAAGAAAGATCTCCCTCTCTATCTCCCCCCAACACTCTGGCTTTCAAATAAATAAGTATTTTAAAAAATTTATTAAAAATGGTGTAGTACTTGTATATGGCATACAAATATCCTCCTGTTAAATCATCTCCAGTTGACTCATTAATACAGTATAAATGGTATTAAATAGTTGTTACTGTATTGTTTAGGTAATAATAACAAGAAAAAAAGTCTGCACATGCTCAGTACAGACGCAGTTTTTTTCAAACACTCCTGATGTGCAGTTGCTCCACTCTGGGGTTGTGGAGCCCACAGACAGAGCAGGCTGGCGGTAGTAACAATTGTGTAAGAAACACTTCAGAGAGGTGTACAGGGAGAACGCACACTGCGGCAGAGCTCCTGCAGCTTAAAAATCCAGCGAGCTAATGGACGTTTTTCCTTTTTAGGCAGCAATGAGGTCTTCCATGCTACAGAGAAGGACCGAGGAAGGCCTTACCAGCACCGCCCGACATTCTTCTCCTAACCAGATTTCCTTTGCTGACCCCTGGGGATTCTGACCGAGAGGCCCCTCCTCCAGGAAGCCTTCCCTGACTTTGAAGCTTGCTTGAGACACTGGTCCACTGTATTCTCAGTCACCCTGCCCCTCCCCCGCTGCTGCTGAGAGTTAGACTAGGCTAATCCAGCCCTCTGACACATACAAACTTGGGTCTGTCTTGCTTGTGTCGTTACCTGTCAGACGAGTGGATCATTGAACAGGGGTGGCCCCCTTTTTGCAGATGGGGAAGCCATCCAAAGGTTGCTTAGCAGATGGGGAGGCCTGAGCCATGCTTTCAACCACCTCACTGGCCCGCTTGCTGTCAGATCCTAAGGTTCCCTCCTGAGGACACCTGCAGAGTCTTCCCAAGCACCCAGGTGTGAGAGGGGGGAAGGAGCCCAAAGCAGGAGACAGCAGGCCACGTGAGAAGCCTGCTAAGCCGAAAGGGACACCCAGGCACAGGTGTGTGGGATGAAACCCTTGGTGACCTCGACTTCCGACGGACAAATGGCGGACCAGTGGTTCGATAATGCAGGATTAACCCCAGGTGCTCCTTGGCCGTGTGGTGGGCAGGAAATTGCCCACAAGGGGCAGCAGAAGTAGAGGGTGGGAAGAGAGTTAGGGGTGGGCCAGGGGTCCCTGTGTAGCCTCTAAGAAGCTCTGTGACCCTGGGCAGGTAACACAGTCCACTGGAGCCTCAGTGGCTTGACCCACGAAGCCCTCCGTCCAGGCCTGATCGGGTGTGGGTGCTCGGGAAGTCTTGGCCATCGCTGTTATTCTGACGCTATGATTTCTACTCACTGATGTCTGCACCATCATGGCGCGCTGGTCTCGCATTTTCCGGACAATATCCAGTGGGTACACGGGCAGGTTTCGCTCAATTAAGCACATGGCCGTTTCCATGGTGACCAAGACACCGGTTCGACCTATGCCGGCACTGCAGAGGGGAGAGAGGCCAAGATGCGGGACTTGCCGGGCAGCTCCTGGCCACTTCCTGCGTGGACTCAGTAGGGCGGCCCCGCTTTGGCCTTCAGGAGTAGGAAGCGCACACTCCGGCTAAGAATATCTTCCCCATAGACCCCGAGGCTGGGGGCTTCCCAGTGCACGGAGGGCAGCCCACTATTAAGTGCCAAACCCACGCCCGTTCTCATCCACCTCCATGGTGAAGGTCAGCGGACGGAAGGGCTGGGGCTTACTTTTTCAGCACTGGGCCATACTCCCAGCCTATGCTTCCTGAAATTCCGAATGCCCGGAGATCAGGGAGGAGCGGGCACAGGGCACGGCAGGCTGTGGGTTGCAGCCGGCATCAGCCAGTTTTCCCCAGGCCCTTCCCAAGGGGGTGCTGGTGTGAAAACCAAAGCCAAACAGACAAGCCCCGGTACCTGCAGTGAACTAGGATGGGCTCCCCGTCCACTCTCAGGGACCTCACGTAGTTTACAAATTCCAGAAAGTCCGAGGAGTCATCCGGCACGCCGTGGTCAGGCCAGGCGACGTACTGGAGGTGCGTCACTGTGTGTTCTTCCCCAGTCTACGGAAGACGCAGGGGCCTCAGTGAGTCAATCCAGACAACGGGCCAGTCCCAGACACCTGCCAGGGTGGCCCCTGGTGTTGGGTGCCCTCCTGGCCACTGTGCACGCCCTGCTGCGGCCCCTGCCTACCTCCCGCTCCCCTCCCAGAACACCTCCCAGAGGACTGCCTCTCAGAGCACTTCCGCCTGCAGCGATTTCTTCTGTCTCTTCCTGGAGTAGCTGCCGCTAGGGTCACACATGCTGGCTCTTCACACACCCAACAGTTATCATTTTAACCAGTTTCAAATGTCCACTTCAGTGGGATCCGGTATACTCACCATGTTGTACAACCATCACCCGTACCTATTTCCAGAAGTTTCTTTTTTAAGCACCCAGATATAAACTCTGCACCCATTATTATCGTAGCTCCTCATTCCGCCCGTCCCTGGAGACCCTGGCAGCCAGCACCCTCCTCTCCATCCCTGTGAATGTGACTTCGGCCGAGCGGAATCTCACGTGTCCCCTTGTGACCGGTCTATGTCACGCTGCGTCAGGTTCAGGCCCGTGGCAGGGGCTGTCAGAGCTCCCTCCCACCCCGCTGCACAGATGCACCCCACCTTGTGTGTCCCTTCCTCCATTGGCAGCCCCTTGGCCGCTTCCCTCCACTGCCTGCTGCGGGTGGTACGGCTTTGACACGGGCCCTGGCTCTCTGAGGGGCAGTCGGGTGCACCTCCTGACACGCCTGCCAGGTGAGCACAGAACTGGACGTGCACGGCCATCGTGCACCTGCCCACCCCCGCAACCCAGCTCACCTCAGTGTTCGTGACCAGCATTTCTCGGGACACGTAGGCGATGGTGCAGTCCTCCGACTGGCACTGGATATGGAAGACGCCGTGGTCTGCAACGTCGGGGGGGTCAGGCCAGTACTGGTGACATTTGGTCTGCAGGGAACCCAGGGTGAGTTAGTCCCGTGGGGGTGGGGCATGGGAGCACCTGGCTGGGTGGACTGTTCTGGCGTCCAGCCTGAGTCCTTTCGCACAGACCCCGCTACTGTGATTGCGGGCCTGTCTGCTTTGCATACACTCCAGGCTGGGGACAGAGGACCCTCCTTCCTCTCTTTCGATAAAGCGGGGCGGAGCAGGCCAGGGCTCCCTGGTCAGCCCAGGCTGAATCTCTGCCCCAGCCTCCTGGCCTGGGGCTGCTCTCAACAGCCCCTCCTGTCCGGGGGCCTTGCCCCCACCCTCTGAAGGCAGGAGGCTGTGGGACACCTGAGACAAAAGCACACAGTGGGGTGGCACACACAGCTCTGCAGCAGCCACTTCCTGCCCTCCTTGTCAGTCTAGGACCATGAGCAAATCACTCCACCTCTGCCTGCTCACAGCTGTCTCCTGGAGGAGTCGGACAGCCCCAGGCCCACAGACGTGTCAGTGGGTGGACATGCCGGTGTGCAGTAGCGACGCGCTGTGGGCTGGGGTCAAGGGTGACCATTGTTGCTGCTTCTGGTGCAGAGATTCCACAGAAAGCCAAGCGAGGCCAGCTGTGAACTGATGTGCTCTCTCTGCACCCGAGGGCGCCCCCTAGGCCCGCGTACACATTCATACACTTCTCCCCAGCCAGCAGACCAGGGTTTGGGGTACTGAGCAACCTGCCCAGGCCACAGGGCTTCCATGGTGCATGGTGCAGCAGGGCTGATTGATGGATCCCATCCCTACCTGCCGTGAGCCGATCCCCCTTTCCAAACCTTGCAGCTTGGTCCAGGGCCCTCTTAGCCCTGCCTCTGGTGTTGAGGCAAAATCCAGGGCTGGGCTGCCCACCTCATCCTAGTTTCTCTGTCACTCAAATTCTGACTCAATTAAAAAAAAAGTTTTCCCCTCAAGCCCAGAGTGGCAGCAATTGAAGTAAAAGTCCCATCTGTTTTCAGCAGAAAGGGGGTATAAGTGACACTATCCAGCCTTACTTTCAAAGGCCACGGCGACTGCGTGAAATGGACGTGTGCCCCTGCAAAGCTGGCGCTGAGAACTGCTTGGACACACGCAACATGGGGGATTTCGTTAGAAGCCATTTCCTCACTCTGCGCAGATGGGAGGGGGTTGTTGTCTACAGAAGTGAAGGCAGAGGCCACAGACCCCAGCGGCCTGGTGCCCCTCGTCTGTACAGGAGGCATCAACCCTGCCCCAAGGGTAAGCGGGAGTAGGCCGTCTCTGGATACTCAACCTGAAGGCAGAGCTACAGTTACCTGCACCCCAAAATGTCTTCCTCCTACGGTGGATCTAACCAGAACCCGGCCCTCTCTCTACCTCTGCTCAAATCTAGATTGGGGTCCATTTGGATCTGAAATCACTGGGGTGCCATGGAGACTCTGAGTGTCACTCCTGGCTCATCGGTTCTACTGACCAACTGTGAAGGGAAGACAGGAGCCAAGGCGGACTCCAGACTCCTGGCGTGGGTGCCTGGGTGGACACGTATGCCCCTGGCCAGGGTGGTGGGCTAGGGGACAGGCCCTGTCTGTGGGCACCTGTGGCCGGGGGGCTTCCGCTCTGGGCACCTTGTAGGTGAGGACACGTGTCCCATCAGCAAGTCAGCAGGTGGGTTTGGGGTTCAGGAACTGGAGGGGCTCAGTGCCCGGATCTGTCATCTGCTGGATCCCGCAGAGGGCTGGACGGAACCTGGCTGAGACTGGTTCCCTAGGGAGAAGCCTCAGAGTGTGTGTGAGCAGCACACCAAGCCCGGTGCCTTTCGCCAGAAACGAGAGCAAGGGAGCGGCTGGAGCTTCACACTGCCCACACCTCCCACCATCCTCACGGATTCTCACGGCCACTGGGGGACCCTGCCATGGCATAGGCAGCAAATCCATGTGCCTCTGGCCTGGTGGGACGAGGAGGTCAGGGATGCAGGCACTGCCCCATGGGGACGCCCACTGTGGGACAGGTGCCAGGTGCCGGGCACCTCATTCCTAACCCCCAACAACCCCGAGAGACAGGCCTTCCCGCTGCCTTTCCAGTGAGGAGCCAAGGAGGCCTGGAGTCCCCGTCCAAGGCCAAACAGGTAAAAGCAGTGGTCTCAGAATCTGAATGCCTCCTCTGACCCCCAAGCCCAGTGTCTATGATGACTGGCAGGCCATGTTGTTCATGTACGGCTAAAGAGACAGCTCTGATGGCAGGGGAGGGGACTCCCCCTGCCAAGATCTCTCTCTCTCTCTATCTAGAGGCAGGGTGACAGAGAGAGATGGAGAGACACAGAGACAGACAAACCTTTCATCTGTTGGTTCACTCCCAAAGTGCCTGTGACAGCTGGGGATGGGCCAGGCTGAAGCCAGGAGCCAGGAACTGCTTCCAGGTCTCCCACAAGGGTGGCTGGGACCCAACTATTTGGGTCATCATCTGCTGCCTCCCAGGAAGCTGGATGGGAGGCAGAGGTGGGGCCTGGCCCAGGCACTCCAGTGTGGGATGCAGCTTCACCTGCAGCACTGTGATGTCCACGAGACTGGCTTTTTCAGTGGAAAAGTTACATCTCTAGTACGAGCCTCGAGGGAGAGCGTAATGATAAACCATTCTGGGCAGGAATGGAGAAGGCAAGAATCAAAGTGTCCTTGCTGGGGGACAGGCTCTCCGGCCCCTGAGCTGTGCAGGGCTTCCGAGGTCTCTGCACTCACAGACATGGGCGTGGCTCACAGCAGGGCGAGAGGACTCTGGCAGCCACGTGCCTGCTGCCAAGTCCTATGTTACAGGACAGCCTTAAAAGTCCATCCCTTAACAAAAGGCAGTGTAGGGGCAGGGTAGCTGTTTGGCCCAGCGGTTAAGATGCCAGTCGGGAAGCCCACTTCTCATGTCCGAGGGCCTGGCTGAGAGTCTGGCTCTACTCAGGATTCCAGCTTCCTGCTAACGTGCGCCCTGGGAGGCAGCAGGTGATGGTTCAAGTAGCTGAGTCCTTGCCATCCACCTGGGGACCTGGGTTGTGTTCTGGCCCAGCCCCTGCTGCTGCAGGCATTTGAACCAGCGGCTGGGAGATCTCTGTCTTTCACCTCTCAAAGAGATAAAACAGAAAAAGGAAAGCAAAAGGGGCCAAGCAGGTGGCCTGCGGTGCCCAACTCCAATCCGGAGGAACAGGCAGGTGGTGATGAGGACAGGACAGAGACTTCTGGCCACCCAAGAGTCTACAACAGGAGAGGCAGAAACAGGCACCCTGGATATCAGAACAGGTTTCTGCCACCTGATAAACAAGGGAGCTAAGTTCCCAGGGCCAGAGATGGTGACGGAAATGCTAGGCCTCCCGGGAGATGGGAATCTCTTGTGCAGGAAACTCATGGAAGCAGCTGGAAGGAGTCCAGCGGGGACTAAATGACTGGGAAACAAAGAGACCCACCGGGTCACACGGGGACCTCAGATGAGCTCAGGTTCAGAGCGGACACCAACAAAAGAGAGGAGGGGCCGTGAGCAGCACCAGCCAGGAGCGGCAGCGCCTGCGAGGGCAGCGGGCGAGAGATGGAAGAAGGAGCCCTTTCTCCAGAGCTGGAACAAGTGAACGAGGGAAAGTCAGGGGCTGCGGTCCAGGGCAGGTCACCTGGCGCCAGCTGTAGGCCAACAAACCGTTCGTACGGGCCCCTTTGCTCGAGGGGCAGAATGACCTTCCAGCTGGAAAGGGAACAAAGGGAACGAGAAGCCCAACACGGACAGGCAGCCGTGGCAGTGCCGGGATGCCTGCACGGATCAGCTATCGGCTCAGAGCCACCGCATCACCAACTCAAAGACTATTGGAGACACAATGTGGCACCTCCACGACAGGGTAAGGGACCGGCGGAAGGCGAGTACAGTGCGGCTCTGAGAAAGGACAAGGCAGACGACTTGACGTCTACGTAGTCCAGGGCCTGCAGAGTGGGAGGCGAGGCCAGGGGTGCATCGGGAGAAGGCTGGGTTTGCTTTAAACAACACGGAACTCCATGGCAGGAAGTTGATGCCATTTTCATACGGTATTTCTGACTGTGCGTGGACAGAAAGCCTCGATGTGGACCTAGGACAGTTTTAGCATTGCTTCCCTAACTGTTAGCGTCAGCGAGCCTCAGGTTCACAGCCTGGAAGGCAGGAAAGAGTACTTAGGATTTGATGACATTGTTCTATGGTCCCTGTATTTCTACACACGCCTCCTGTATGGTCTGAAAGGGGATTTGACTCCCCAGACTCAGGCAGACATCCTCACGCTCGATTTTTAGGCTGACAGTTAATGGATGAATGCCAGCAGCTTAGGGTGGTAGAGATGTGATCTAATCAAGGGGAGTGGGCCTATTGGGAGGTCTTTAGGTTCTGGGGGCTTTGTCTGAGAGGAGTTCCCACGAGAGGGTTGGTCTCCAAGCCTAGCACGCTTGTGGTGTCTCGCTGCTTCCTGGCTTCCCATGTGATCATCCCTAGGCTGTCCTCCAGCCTGAGCAGGTGTCTCAACCAAAGGGGCAGCCAGATCTTAGACGGTAGGCCTCCAAGAGTGTAAGCCGAAATAAACCTTCTTCCCTCCTGCAGTGCTCCTCCCAGCTATTGCAGTTAAAGTAGCAAAAAGCTGACTCCCACAGTACTGCTCAAAGGCAATTCATTAGAGCAAAAGAAAACAATTTGAGTCAATTTAAAGAAAGATAATGAATAATGCTAGGATAAAACAAGGATAAAACAAAATAGTACAGTTCTGGTAAAAATGACTAAGGTGGCACGGAAATCATTATTATTGTTACTACGAGCTAACTTTTATATAGAGCATTTTCTGCGCACTCAGCACTCTTCCAAGAAGGCTACTGGGTCAACTCATTCAGTTCCCCTGGAGTCCCATGAGATGGATGCCACCAATACCGCAATTTACGGAGAGCCACACGGGTAGCGTCTTTGGAGTCTGCCTTCTCACCCCTGACCCTACGCAGCCAGATCACCACAAGCACCTTAGAAAAATGGAGAGAACAGGACCGTGAGCTGACCAGCGCTCCCTAAGCTCAGAAAGGATCCAAGTGACTTCATTTCCTACTAGAAACAAATTTTTCAAAAAAAGAATCACGCACACAGACAAAAACTCCACAGACAGCAATGAGGCTTCTGGAGAGAGGAGGTGATGCTGCAGAGCTGCCGGGTGGAGATTCCAGCCTCGTCTCTGACAGCCACGCACGGGGACTGTGTCGGCCCAGCAGCGACAGCAGAGCTGTGAGCATGGGGGGCTGCTCCTCGGCTGCCCTCAGCGCCTCTCCCCACCAGCATTCTCCAAGGAGGTTTCTACTGCCTCCTGGGGACGTTCACACCTTTTCATCAGTCATCTATTTGAGAAGAAGAGACACTGATGACATCTGTGAGTGACAACCACACAGAGAAACCACACGGGAAGCCTGGAAGACCCCCCAGGGCTGTCTAATGGTCAGATGTGAGGGCTTAATCCAATCAGGCATGATGATGATGACACAAACCACATTTGCCAAACTCTCGCTACGCAAAGTGCAAATCTCTAAGCTTTCTGTAGGTATCCTCCCAGTCTTCATGAACTCCCCAGGTGGGTACTGTTACCATCCCCGTTTTACAAACAGGAGGGGATGGAGAGGTTTATGCAACTCACTCAAGAAGAACCATATTTTCAGTCCACATAGTCTGGCTCTGCTGTATGGCAGCTCCAAGAGTCAAGGGAATGACTGCAAAATGGGGAAAACTGACTCCGTGGCAATACAAGACAAATACCACACCACTTCTGCTGACTGCAAGCTTAGTGGAGCCAAGGTTATCTTCAGACAACTAAAGGGTCATTGCATAGAAAAGAGAGTGACTTATTCTGTGTCCTCCATGCAGAACTAGGTGGGGTGGGGGTTCAAAGCAACAGACATTTCAGCTCACTGTAAGGATGAATTATTTTACAAAATAGAGCTGATGGGGGCCAGTGTTGTGGCATAGCAGGTAAGGCTGCCATGTGTGATGCCGGTATTCCATATGGGCGCTGGCTGTTCCACTACCGATTGAGCTACCTGCTAACAGCCTAGGAAAAGCAGCAGCAGATGGCCCAAGTACTTGGGCCCCTGAACCTATGTGCAAGACTTGGAAGAAGCTCCTGGCTTTGGTCTGGCCCAGCCCTAGCTATGTGGAAATTTGGGGAGTGAGAACCAGTAGATGGAAGATCTCTCTCTGTAACTCTTTCAAATAAGTAAAACAAATCTTAAAAAAAAAAAAAAAAATCAGAGCAGAGCACTCACAGGATAGACCCTGCAAGTGCTTCAGCAGAACTGGGAGCAACCATCTGGGACAACGCATTTGAAAGCCCTTTCTCAGGGGTCAGCTTTGTGGCGCAGCAGGCTAAGCTACCACCTGGGCACCAGCTTCCCACAGTGGTGTGCTGGTCTGAGTGCTGGCTGCTCTGCTTCAGATCCAGCTCCCTGCTCACGCTCCTGGGAAAGCACAGCAAGGTGGCCCAAGTACTTGGGACCTTGACACCCACATGGGAGACCCAGAAGGAGTTCCTGGTTCTTGGCTTCCACCTGGTCTGGCCCCAGCCATTTGGGGACTGACCCAGAAGATGGAAGATCTTTCTCTCCCTCTCTCTCCCCCTCCCTTCCTCCCTCTGACACTCAGTGAGAGGGTAGGTTGCTCTCAAAAACAAACTATCCATTCCAATTCCCATGTGTTCTGATTTTCAATATGCATTTGGTATTTATTACATACTGAGCAAGGGATCTGGGTAGAGTGGCACACAGATCATTCAAGTGGACTGTTCAAGGTGAATTTGTATTTGATTTTGGAATGTATTTCTGAATGAAGAGATCCAGATGTACCCAGAAGTCAGGGGATTCATGATATAGGCATCCTTTACGTATTGACTGTCACAGAGTTAGTGATCTGATCCTATGGAAAACGGTAGGGTAGTGTAAGTTCTCCTCCTTCTTAGGGCTTCTATGAACCTGGCACGCATACTGCTTTCAGGACCAGTACTTGTGCTGCGTGGGTGAGGCCACAGTCAATACAGGGGGTTTGGGGCAGTGAGCTCAAAGGCAAGGGGCACTGCCTTTTGGTTTGTTAGAACGGATTTACCCCCTCACGCCACCCCCCTGCCCCGAGGTTTGTTAGAATGGATCCACGCCAGGAGCCGGCAGGGGTGCTGAGTTTCCCATCACCGAGGGAGCCTATGAGCAGCTCCATACAGGAGACTAAGAGGTCACATGGAGGATGGACCCTGAGACACTTCACGTATTCCTTTCCAGCCCTTGATGCTTGTTCCACAGAGCATAGTGTGACACTGTACACACTTGAATTGGAAATCGAGCCACTTACCCGGCCTCGCTCTGTCAGAGTCGTCAACATGACGATGAGCGACAGCTTCTGATCCCAGACGACCTGCCAGAAGTGTGCACAGGTGTGTGGCAGGGGTCCCTGAGTGGCGATGTACTTGTTCACGAGGTGAGCGCTGGGGATTTCCATCTGGCAAGAAATGGAGAAGGCGTTCGTCTGTGACTGCCGCAGCGTTGGCAGGGAAGTGCACTTTAAACTCTGCTGCTTGCTGACTGACATCACACCAAAAAATCCCTTTGTCAAGTCATAGCATATCAATTCCAAAAAAGATCAAAGAGAACGTTATTTCTACAGATCCTTGAAAATATCTGACAATAATGCTAGCATTAGGTCTTTAAGATACTGAGTAGGCAAAACCCAGATTTATACCTGCAAGACGGCAGAAGACTTTAAGTGTGTTTTACTGCTCTACCCTAAATATGAACAATATTTGACAGCTGCATATTTAGCAGTACATACCAACCCTCAATCCCACATCTTTCCCTGTGCTGGATTTAAAAAAAATATTTATTTGAAAGGCAAGAGTTACAGAGAGAGAGAGAGAGAGAGAGAGAGAGAGAGAGAAGAGTTAGAGAGATCTTCCATCTGCCGGTTCACTCCGGGTATGGCCACAACAGCCAGGGCTGGACTAGGCCAAAGCCAGGAACCTGGAACTCAATTGGGTCTCCAGTTGGGTGGCAGCAGCCAAGCACGGGGGCCACCTTCCGCTGCCTTCCCAGGTGTATCAGCGGGGAGCTGGATCGGAAGCTGGATCATATAGGAATCTGGGGTCGCTGTGCCACAATGGCCCCGAGCTATGCTGCGCTTCTTACAGCTGCAGTGGAGGTTTTACTCTTCCTATTTGGCAGGGTGACACTAATAACCTGGGAAAAACACAGAGGCATGCAAACACACCACTGGCAAAGACAAATGCCTAAACGGCAGCAGCCCGGCACAGAAGCACCATGGATGGACAGCGGTAAAACAGAATGAGGGCGGGCACTTGGCACGATAGTGAAGATGCAACCTGGGGTGCTCGCATCCCACACGGGAGTGCCTGGGTTCAAGTCCAGGTTCCGCTCTCAATTCCAGCTTCCTGCTGTCGTGAACCCTGGGAGGCAGTGGTGAGGACAGAAGTACTTGGGTCTCTGTCTGATGCCTACATGGGAGACACCTGGACTGAGTTCCCGGCTCCTGCTTTCAGCCTGGCCCAGCCCCTGGCTGTTGCGGGGCTGTGGGGAATGAACCAGCAGATGGAAGATCTCTCTCTCTCTCTCTCTCTCTCTCTCTCTCTCTGTGCCTTTCAGATAAAATAATATAGATTAACAAGAAGAGACAGCATGAGTTTTGGCCCCACCTTCTGTGACTTCTCCAGTTACTTAACCTCTCTCTCTGACCCTTGGTCTCCTCCCTGTGAGATCAGACTTTCCTGCCTTCCCTGTGTGGCAGCTGTGCCTGAGGGAGGCAGTGAACAGGAGAGCGCTCTGCCAGCCGCAAAGCAGCCCGCACGCCAGCATCACCCAGAGCCCCAACTTACATTCACATAGCTTGCGTTGATATAATCCTCACTTCCCTGCAACAATACCCGGGTGGCGTCATCTGTGGGAGAGAGAAAATTTTACCATGATCCCGGTGTTATTTTTATCAAACCAAGTAAACAAGAGTTTGCTTCCAGGCCCTGCCTCATTAGCATAAACACTGTTCCCTAACTGCTCAGACTCCCAATGGCTGGCTCCGACGCAGACGGGGGCGCTTACAGACACACTGGGGCCCCTCTGGAAGACCAGACAATCTGTTTCAAAAAGGGAGGCGTTATCTCTGGGTAGGATACTCACAAGGCAGCACATCTTTGTAGCGGTTTTTGTCTACATTTGGAGGCAGCTTTGCACCTGTGATGGCCAAACCTGGTTTCTTCCTGTAGAGTTGCTGTATGACAAAGAAAGAAGTAAACAATCATTGCAAAAACCAGCTCTGGAGAAGGGGTGAGAATTAACCTCTAACCGTCAGGTTTGCCCTCTATGGCACCCAGAGTTTCACGTTCTAACTGATCGTGTGCTGCACAGTAAAAGAAAACCTTCCCAATAGGAAATTCTTTTTTTCTTTCAATAAAAGATTTATTTATTGGAAAAGCAGAGTTATAGAGAGAGAGAGAGAGAGAGAGAGAGAGAGAAAGGGAGAGACAGAATGAATATCTCCCATCCATTGGTTGATTCTCCAAATGGTCACAAAGGCTAGGGCTGGGCCAGGCCGAAGCCAGGAGTCAGGAGCTTCCTCTGGGTCTCCCGTGTGGGTGCAGGAGCCCAAGCACCTTGGCCATCTCTGTTGCTTTCCCAGGTGCATTAGCAGGGAGCTGGATTGGAACTGGAGCAGCTGGAACTCAAACTGGCTCCCATATGAGATGCTGGTGTCGCAGGCAACAGTTTTACCTGCTACGCCACAATGCCAGCCCTAGGAAATCCCATGATTCCTTGAGAAAGCAACTAAATAACCTAATACTTTGTTTTTTAATTTGAGAAGCTTTGGGAGGAAAGAAAGTCATAGAAATGAGCCTGAGTCACATCACAGATCGTGGTAAGTAAAACCTTATTTTTATGACAATTTGACAAATGCTGAAAGCAAGTGGAGACATTTCTGACTCAAAATTAAATCGTTTTAATTAGCCTAAAACCCTTTCCCTCCAGCTGAATGGGTGAACCACAGTTTCTGCCTAAGAGCAGGAGCACTTCATTCACTCTCGGGACAGTTCCGCAGTAAGAACATCCACCTCGTACACCACAGACTTCTAGAAGGAGCTCCTTACATAAGCATTCACAGCCAAGAACATTTGCATAGCTACGAGCACAGACCAGCCACGTCACGGTATCCGACACGGTTTTCACGGCAGCCCCGTATTAACGATGCTCTGATTTTGCAAGTGAGAGCCAGCGGTTCAGTGTTCTGCTCAAGGTCACGAAGCAGGGGCTGATCTCAATCTGACTCCCACACTTGCCTTTTCTCTCTATACAGCGTTTCTCTCACTTCAAAACAGGGAAGCTCCCTTTACCAGCAGTTTTTATTAGCTTCCTGGGAATTTAAAAACATAACTTTTTTTTTCAATGTTGAAAGGGACCTATTTTTTTGTTTTGCATAACATTTGGGGGAATTCAAGCTTGTATAAAAAAGATGATTCATAATTTCATAATCTTGAGATACTATTTTCAAGTATTTTTGTAAGTTTTCCTGTGCATGCATGTATATGCAAGTATACAAGTATGTATGTGAACACGACACACACATACTGTATTTTTAAAAATAACAAGTGAGACTGAACTCCATGTTGGAACAGCCTATACTATGTTCAATGGAACCCAACTGTCCTAAAAGATAACAGGTGCTCCTTAGAAAAAGTCTGTAAGTCAAAGAGGAGTGAGTGTTTGGCCTAGTGCTCCACATGCCACTTGGTTACCTGCATCCCGTATCAGAGTGCCTGTGTTCAATACTCAGCCCACAGTTCCAGCTTCCTTTCAATGCAGACCCTGGGAAGCAGTGACAATAGCTCAAAAACTAGGTCTCTGGCACCCACACGGGAGGCCTGGACTGTGTTCCCAGCTCCAGTCTTTGGCCTGGCTCAGCCCTGGGCTGTTGTGTACATTTGAAGGGAGTGAACCAGTGGATGGGAGATCTCTCTGTTCCTCAAATAAATAAATCATAGATCTTAAAAATCTGAGAAATTCTTATTTTACTGTTCCATAAATTTCCAATATGACAAGTCCCACAGTGTATAAATATCCTTAACTCTAATCAGTGATCAACTGAATTCTGATAGCACTTCTGAAGCTAATCTGGCCGCAGAAGATCTCAGTATCTCACACCAAGTGTTCTGGGAAACACTCCCACAATGTGGAAAACTGCTTCCCCCACGTAATATATAGTTCCTGTTTCTCCACACCATTAAATATTCTCAACATGTGGTGCTTAGTGGTTCAATAATCCACTTTATTGTAGTTTAGCTTTTGCTCTACTTCTTCATTAGGCTGGTTTCACGTCAAAGCATGCTTTTCAAGGGCTTTGGTACGTGGCTCCACGTTGCCCTGTGGTGATGTGTGACAGTGGCTAATCCCCCACACTGGGGTCGACATCTTTATTCTAATCAGTCTTTGTGATCTGAATAGGAAAACTGAGAATTACTTTTGTACACAGTATTGTTTTATAAGCTGGCTTCTGTTTTAGTCTGTTTTTTCTTATTAAACGAAGCACACAGAATGAACATGGAGCTTTGGGGGTCATAATAATTGTGCTGGATTTTACACATTTGCTAGGTGTTTGGAATTTCCAAACTTCCTAGGAGCGCAGCTACTGATCATCTTTACAGTTTCAGTTCACAACAATCAAGTAGCCACTGAATAACTTCTTAAACAACAGACTCAGTGAGCTCATTCTAGAAATAAACTCATGATTTATTAGAGGTTTTGGTTTGGCTCTTGCAGAAGGAGGACATCTGAGTCAGTCAAATTGACCTAAATGGCACTTTGGTTCTATCTGAGTAACTGCACAGAGGTGAAATTCAATTAGGTGAACATAACCAGCAAAGCTAAAGTAGAGGTAAAAAGAGACCCCTCCCCCCCGCCGCCATCAAATAACAAAAAATGTAAATGCAATCAGTATAAGATGGCCTAGCAGAAAAAATACATCTAGCAAAAGACTTTAATTACCATACCATAGATTTTAAATGTATCTCAGCAGCAATCTGTGGTTTGGATTGCAGAGTACTGAAATAAATTAGAAAAATAAAGCACCAGGGCAACGTTCCAACATTTTAAAATGTGCACGCTCTGACCATTATCCAACACAACTGTATAAAGATATGTGTCAAGGAGGCATATTTGTGGCAAAATATTTACCTGCAGAACACCACAAACCTGCACACAGCCTGAATACTCTCCAGTAAGAAGTGCTGGTTTAAATCATGGTACAGTTATACCACAGAATTCTGTGAGGGGGTTGGTGTTGTGGTGTAGCAGGCAAAGCTGCCACCTGCAGTGCCAGTGTATGCCACCGGTTCGTATTCCAGTTGTACCACTTCTGATCTAGCTCCCTGCTGATGGTCTGGGAAAAGCAGTGGAAGACAAGCCAAGTGTTTGGGTCTCTACCATCCATGTTAGAGACTTGGAAGAGGCTCTGGGCTTTGGCCACTGTAGCCATCTGGCGAGTGGACCAGTGAATGAGAGATTTTCTCTTTCTCTCTGTCTCTCCAACTCTTTCAATTGATAAATAATTTTTTTAAAAAAGATTGTATTTATTTATTTATTTGAAAGTCAGAGTTATAGACAGAGAGAGGGAGAGACAGAGAGAAAGGTCTTCCACCTGCTGGTTCACTCCCCAGATGGCCTCAACGGCTGGAGCTGAGTTGATCTGAAGCCTGAAGCCAGGAGTCTCCTCCGGGTCTCCCACATGGGTACAGGGGCCCAAGGACTTGGGCCATCCTCCACTGCCTTCCCAGGCCACAGCAGAGAGCTAGATCAGAAGTGGAATAGCCGGGGCTTGAATCAGCACCCATATGGGATGCTGACAATGCAGGCCACGGCCTTGCCCACTACACCACAGCCCCCCATGAAGTTTTTGACTTGCCTTCATTTGTGATAATGACCTGATTTATGTGTGTGCTGCTTGAAGCAGCACACATGGAGGTATGGGGATGTATGTACATACACAAACCTATGTGTGTGCACTGTGTATGAACTTATGTATGCATAAAATATATTTGCATGAGCACTGGGACAAATATGGAAGGGTAAACCCTAAATCGCTACTTGTAAATTATAACAAAAATGAAGAAACTGGAGGGGGACTACTCATTTTACTTTGGCTATTTCTAAATGTTTACAGTAAGATTATCTTTTAAATTGAAATGGTAGAAGAAAAATATAACAAAGGAAGTCTAGACAAACTTAAAAATGCAAAATTTTGACCAAATAGGTGAACAAACTGAAGCAAAGATTTCTTTGGCTTTTGTCAAGGCTACAGGTTCATATTCATGTCTGCTTCACAAAGGCTGACACTGACAGTGGAAAGCAGATCCATACAGTTTCATTTCTTTAATTGATCAACTCTTTGACCCAATTGATCAACTCTTTGGGCTGCTTGGTGTGCTGGGTATAAAAACTCTGCTCCAAGAAGGGGGAGGCACAGAATGGAAAGCAATATGCTGGAAACATGGGTGGGTGTTGAGACACAGGTACATGTCAGGAACAGGGACACGTGTCAGGAACATGGATACATGTCAGGAACAGGGACACGTGTCAGGAACATGGATACATGTCAGGAACAGGGACAGGTGTTTGGAACACGGATATGTGTCAGGAACAGAACACATGTTGGAAGCATAGGTTATGTCTTTCTGCAGGGGTTAGGGACACAGGGAAATGAGTTCCAATTTTGTGTTACTGGCCAGAATTTGACTCAAGCCTTTAAAAGAACAATTCCTTGGTACCATACAGTTTGCTTCAATTAGTCACAGGCTGAAGGTAAATGAGGCAGGCAAGACCTTCTAGTCACAGAACCTTCAATTCTGGCCTAGAGTGGGAGCAACCCAGAGGCTGAGAAGCAGGGTCACAGGGACATGGGTAATAAAGTCACTTAAGTTTGATGGAAAATGATGAACTTCTATGTCCTGACTCGCTTTGTCCTCACCCAAAGGGAGTGCAGTTCCAGCAATCCCTGCGATGGAGGGGAAGTTACAGGAAGATCAGTTGAGAAGGGCTGCTAAGGAACAGCCACATGTAAGTTACACTGCTAAGGTCACCAGGGCACTCTGCCTGCCATAGGAGGCGGGGTGGAGCAGAAGGCTTTCCAGTTTCTAGTTTCCATCTTGCACAGCCATCTACCAGTAGAGGGGGGCACCAGGAAAGGACCTGGACCTCTCCCTCTTCTCAACAAAACAGACAGGA